TATCCTGATATATTAAAAACTAGCACATTATCTGAGCAGTATTATATTTAGTTATTCTTTAATAAAAAGCATCATTATTAGCATTCCTAATAACCCCTTATGGAGTATAGGGCACCAACACACCTCTCCATCATACTCAGTTTTGGGAGATTCCTCCAAGCTGGGTCCATGACTTTCCGGCTGCTTCTATTTCATTGACAGCTGACCTTTTCCATGATTATTTTGGACTTCCGTTCTTTCCTTTGTGATTCCAACAAAGTGTGTCAAATCCATCCTCATTTTGTGCTTTTGTGTTGGTTTTTATTTTGCAAAGATTAACTATAACAAATTCTTTGTAACATAAAAAGTAGTTACAATAAATTTCCAGGCCTACTAAGACTGTAAGACAAGGATTGTTCAAATGATCAAAAATAAAACAGCACAGCATAGGATACAATCTTGAAAATAAAGCAGAACAATTATGGAAAACAAATCAACATACTTTATTATAACAAACCATGCTAGAATTAAATATTTTCTGAAAAACCTTACGATTCCTGCTGCAACTTTTGCAGTTTTTCAAAAGTAAGTTCCAATTGCCTCCTAGCTACTTTAGGATGTATAACTATATCATCTTCCTCCACTCCAAATTTTTCCTTTAATTGCTTTTTATAATATCGGACAACTTGGAACTGTTTCCCTTTTTCTATTGTAAGATCAAGTAATAATTTCTTATTAAGGCTGCTAGTCTTCCGCTGCTCAGCCAAAAGAACATTCTTGTCACGTAATTGATTACGCAACCTGTTCAGCTTCTTATTGGCATCTAAAAATTTGTAATTTTTCTTCAATTGATTACACTCTTTCCTTACCTCCACACACCTTTTCTTTAACCTTTTGTAATTAGACATCAGGTTTTTGTAAGTTCTCCTGTAGTTTAAACATCTTTGGCACTCTACTACACACGTCCTCTCTGTTCTCTGAGCTGGGATCTCAATGTCTATCGGAGTATCATCAACACGAGTTTCTCTGTCAGTGTCAGGTGGAATTTTTTTTGCTAGATTTTTAGGAGTTTTATCCTTTTTGACAGGCAGGGGTTTTTTCCTTCGTCTTATGTATGTGAAAAATTTAGTTTCCAACAAGCCGATAATTCTCCGCCAATTACTATTAATGTTCGTCATGTAAAATTCCATATGTTTAATAAAGTCACGAATTCTAGTGAACAGCGTTTCTTCACGAGCTGTGATAGGCAATTCATGCTTCTGTATTTCAGAATGGATGTAATTGGCGACATCATCTGTGAACCTATTCTTGCATAACCAGGCAACGTTGCCCAGTTTTAGGTTTGAGATTTCTATGTCCTTATACTGCTCAATGTATTCAGCAAACTCCTCTATTGTGTGCTTTTTTCTGCAAAAAAAAAAGGTGAAAGGAAATCACACAACTTAAATATCAGCATACTTAACAAAATATGAAGAATTGTTCCATAAACTTAAAAGAAGTATTTATTAAACATTTTTTGGAGAGAATAATATACAATCATACAACTGAACACTGCTTAAAAAGTATTATTTTAAGGAATTGTTCTGTATGTTCAAATGGGAATATTTTTTAAACAGCTGGCATTGCAAGGAGGTAGAAAAAGTACTGAAGACATAGTCAATGATATGATTCAGCTAGGATGTTTGTAAATTTTAGATTAGGCACTGGACTGATTGTGTTTTTACATTAAATTCTCTTAAGCGCTTTTATGGATACTCTACTTCTATAGTGTTATTTTTAAATAAATTGGTTTGGATCAACAGAAGATCATAAATAGAATTGAAGTATAAAACCATATTTCAAAATTAGTATTATTATTAGCTCCAAGTTATATCCTATATCAAAAGTTATAAGACCTGACTGAGTTTCTCATGCATTCATAAGTTATAGTTATAGGTTCTAATTCAAATTGCTTGGTTATATATTTACCATTGGACAGTCGAGTGGGTTGGTAGAGCTAATGACTGCTAAAGCAAAAGTCTTGAGTTTGGATCTTGGGTATAAGCCATTAGAATGTCCTTGAGTCAACTCAGCTCTGATGGGTACCTGCCTCATGTTACTGCTGAGGTCAAAGTAACAGGTGAACTCTACTTCATCTGCTCCATATAACACCACGTTAGAAAGAGTAAATTCACCACAAATAAAGCATGTTAATAGCTTAATTAAGACAATCGGATACATTCGAGAAGATAAGGAACCACATGATAAAAATAAAATGAACTGGAGTCTTTACTTCTTTTCTTGGGAATTTGAAATACCGCTAGATGTGCCTTCCTGCTGCTGAACATCATTTGCTTCAATCTTAACTCTGAAATGTATATGATGAACATTACTTGACTTCATCAAGAGTGTGAAAAAATCATTTTAATGAGTCCAAGTCCTATTATATTATTGATAATAAAAATGAATCTACTAAAGGTACTTAAATAGATTTGTTCTGTTACATAATTTATAAGGTGAATGTAATACTTACTCTGCTTCATCTGAAGGTCCTGTGGTTTCACTTTCACTAGGGCACTCATTCTTTATGTCGTCATTTAGACTTTAAAAAAATAATATGATAAAAAATAGAGAAGACCATTTTTTTTTTCAAATACTGGAAGTGGAATGTGATGCAATGTTTCTGTCATTAAAGTAAAGAAAAGGTAATGGCAGGTTTTTACAGGTGATAATTATAAATTTCAAAGAAATATTACTGCCAATAACAAATAAACAACAAGTAAAATAAAAAACTGAAATGCAAGCTTTCTGTTTTAATACAACTGTTCAAATTTTTGGTGGTTACTGTTTTAAGCTAAATAAAGGATTGCCTTTAAAAACTTATAAAGTATTAAAGTGAAATATTAATAGCAAATTTAAAATGAGCCTACAAGTTTTTCTTTTAGTGATAGGGTACTAACCTACTTACTTTATAAATATATTATTATACAACTAAACTGTATTAATTCTATTTATTTTTCTGTTTATTTTTTTATTAATGAGATTATGTTAATTATTTCAAAATGGTAAAAATAAATAATAAAAAACATGAAACTCAAAAATTAAACATACCCCGGTGATATACTTTTCTCTGGTGAATTGATAAGCGAGTTGTGGCATTCTTCCAACAATGATGTATAGGGTTTTGTGCAATAACTGTGTTCTAGGCTAATTTAAAATGAAAAAAAAAAATGTTAATCTTTGTCAAGATGTACATAAAAATAAAGAAAAAAATTGTCAATTTAAAAGAAACTAACCAACAAATAAAATAAAATGACTATTTATTTCTAGTATAAAGGACTAAAATCTTGGTATATCTAAAGTAATGAGTAGTGTTAGAAAAATACTGATGCCAATTTGCTTTTATGTTTTTGGCGTCTATTTTTTAAAACTGTCAATTAACTATCAACTACACTCTCAATCAAATCCTGGTTATTCTTTATATATAGATCGAGAGTATGTAGGACATCTCTGAATCTACAAGTTCTGACAGATAGCAATCAGCTTATGAAAGACAAGTAGTGATTTATTATTATACAAAACTGGAAAAAGAATTATTTGATAACTTAGAAAAATTTAAAGTTTTACCTGTAAAGGTTTTCATGCTGATTATTAACTTCCAAAATTTCAGTTTTTTCTTGATCAAAGGGAACTTCGTGTTTCACCCGAAAGATCCTGAAATAAAACAGATAATAATTTGTTTATTTTATAAACTGGTCACATATTTGTAAAGCAGTATTTTGAATTTAGGAACAGGGGGGGTTGCCAGGTAGAGCATTTGACTCCTATCCTGAAAGTCTATTGAATTAATTGAGAGTTCAATATTGTCCCTGAGTCCACCCAGCTCTCAAGGGTAACTGACTGATATTTAGGAAAGTAAGGATGGCTGGGCAAAGTGCTGACCACACCTTTATACATATGCTGAGGTCAAGAGACATAGGAACTCTACTTCATCTGCCCTATCAGGTATGAAAGGGGAACTTTACTTATTTAGCATATGAAATAGGGTGTGGCGAGCAGCTTTTATGGAGTACCACTAAGAACCATTCAATCCGATATTCTGACTAATGCTATAAAAGATTTACTGATTTAAACTAAGAGCAAATCTGTAGGAGGACCTTGAGCCCATCCAGCTTGAATAGGTACCCAGCTTGAGTTGGGGAAATGTTAAGGCAGCTGACATTAAATAGTTGTCAGGTAATACCATCCCCATTATCAGCCCAAGTTGGCTATATTAAAAAAGTAGTAATAGCTAATATTTATGACTTAATTTTAATGTTTTTTTAAGGCTTAATAACTAAGCAATAACATAAACAAAGATAATTTTTAAAAAAGTAAGTGAGTTTAGAGCAGTACTTGATGGGATAAGGTTGCTGTACTTTAGTCGTGTGGCCTGTATCACAGTTGTCATTAAATCTGCAAAAAAAATTTACAGCAAAATCACCGCCTGTTTTTAAGGAAATATGCTGATACACACAGAACTAAGCCAAAAAAAAAAAAAAAAAAATCAAAAGCCACATTGATTAAATTAATCTGGACACTATGATGAATTAGATAAAGTCGAAAAAACCGAGTCAGTAAAGTAAGCAAAAATATTTTCAACTGCAATTTATACATGAATGTGACCAATGAAAATGATACTAATTAAAAAAATTACCATAGATTTAAAAGAATTATACATATACACAAATTTACTGTCTTAATAATGCAAAACCAGAGAATAGCCATTTAATTTATTGACCAGGGGCCAGCAAACTTGCCATTCACAAGTTGGCAGTTTGGCAGTACATTTAACATAAACATGATACCTTCATGTAATGATGTGGTTTAGGATTATAAAGCACTTTAATTTCTTATTTAATGAAAGCAAGTGACAGCTAAAAGTACAAAGTTTTTGCTTCAGTAACAATATCTTTATTTCTCCTGACAGTATTAATTGCATTTGAGAATGTTATTCCTCCAGAGGCGTAGCGACGATGGGTGTGGGTACATATGTCAATTTAGTAATAACTTAATTAACAAGTAGCAAAGGTAGTTATTAATTTATTAGCAAATCTACATACTTAATGACTCTTGCCTGCTTATATTGCTTAACATGGGAGTAATAATATAACAGCCTTTGATATGGTGAAGAACGTTACCTCACTGGATCCTTTAAAGACTGAGGGTTCATTCTCACTTCAGATTGTTCCATTCTAAAAAAAAGAGTCAAAAAGAAATTATTAATATTAGCATTAGTCATTAGGCTCTAATGTTTAGAATTTATATTTAACTTAATGCAACAAGCCTGCCGGTTGCTTGTAGCAACGCCAGGGGTTTGTTCTGCCGATACAAAATATCGACTTGAAATATTGTCCCACTAGGACCTAGGTCACTAAATCTATTAATAATAGGTTATTATTATTATTAATACCATAGGCCTATAATGATTTAGTAATGATGGCATAATAAACATTATTGTTTAGGTTTAGTTTAGTATTTAGACTTAAGTTATTAATTATTAGTTAAGACACTAAGAATTTAGTTATAGAGTAAACTTTAAAAGATCTAGATCTACTCTAATTATTAAACTAATTATTAAACTCTTACTTACAACTTCTCAGTAAAGACTGGCTTGATTTAACTACTTGATTAGTTAAATTTAGCTGGGTTGGCATAAGACTTAGACTTTACTTAGTTTACTATTACTTAATTAATTATACTAGAATCTATATTCTATAACATAAAAATAATTAATAATAATCATTAATTTAATTAGGCTTATTATACTATTATTACTATTAAATTTAAAATCTATGACTATGTGGCGAGTAGTACTGGCTATAGTGATATACTAAAATAAACTAGTTCCACATTTCAGATAACTGTATGCAGAGCCGTTTAGAATAGCTGTTCACTGTATGCTCATGACAGACTCGCAAAATGGTGTTTTAGAATGTGACATTTTACCCCGGTGAGGGGTCAAAAAGTCACCTACTTGGGGTAAAAAGTCACAAATTTTAAATTTTATATGGTTGAATCTATCTGATCCCAAAAACATTTTTTTTGCTATCGAAAATAATGTCCCTTAACAATCATGAATATTAATGAATGTTTAGATGATATAGGCCTATATATATATATATATATATATATATATATATATATATATATATATATATATATATATATATATATATATGTAAATGAGGACCAGATGTGTAATTATTACAGAGATAGCTTGTCCTTGTGACGTTGCCTGAATGCCTTTAGCCAATCCTCTCCTGCAGCTTTCGCAGAGGACCAGGATTCTGGCATGGGAATTTTGTTGGCGACAGCAGCTTCATAGGCTAGTTTGCGTAATTCTCTCAGATTGAGGCCATAGTAGATTATAGAGGCTTCAATGATGTAGTCTAGCAAAACTTGTTCTTGCTCATCTGAGAAGATGCGCTTCTTCTGCGTACTGTAGCCGAAAGTTGCCTTCTCAATGTTGCCATCTGTTTTGTGCAGCTTTACATAGCGTTGAAGGGTCTTATAATTGACCCCACAGTCGGATGCAACTTTACGAAGCGACTTTCCTTCAAGATAGGCTGCAACTGCCATCTCAATGGCATGTTTCGTAAATGTTCCTCGTGTTGTCTTGCGCTGGTATTGTCTTGGCATGATTCTGTGAACGCCTTATAGTAATTCAAAGATACAATCTAAACACAAACAATTCAGTGATTGCATATGTAATGAATGGACTATAAGGTTTATTATTACTGAGTAAAATTATATATTTATTACTACTACTACTTGACTTGCCTATTATTATCTTATTCACTGTATACATGCTAGGGGAATATAATGATTAATAGTAATAGTGACATTAGGCCTAATCAGTTGGAAATTCAAGAAAGAAAAAAAGAGAAACATATTTTGCATTTTTTGTACAAAGTAGTCTTCTTTTATTAATGACCGTGGTGAAAAGTCACACAAAAAAAAAGTGTGACATTTCACCCAAGCAGGGGCTTGTCATACTAGATTCTAGATCTAAATGATCAACCAACACTTTCAAATCGATTTCCTCAGAAGTAAAGTAAAAAACAATCAATCCAGACTGACGTTATAATATTATATTAACTTAAATTATTAATATTATTATTAGCGATGCTCATTAAATGTTAATTCTCATTATTTTTCCATTTAAACATTACCAATGAAAAATATAGATCAATAGATTAAACACTTTAATTGATGGCACTAGCTCATTTGGAGCTTAATTAAATTTATTTGCGACCCACGGCAGTTCAGAGAAAAAAAATTCCGCGACAACCTCAGATCAGTCTGAAGATGGGAACTTTACAGTTTCGACAAGGCAGCCCATTTGATTTTAAACATAATGTGCAGCTATATTTATTATTTGATTTCGTTACCCCATTTCTATTATTTGGCCTACCCCCCAAATTAATATTTAGGCCTACGAATAGCTAACGGAGTATATCGTTTTTTTGTTGATTTAGATCTAATAGATTTTGTTAAAAAATGTCATCGCATTAAAATTAATCACCCGAGAGCGTGCAAAATGCTTTCCAGACTTTTTTCTCCGGGGGGCACTTGAAATCTTCGGGGGGGGGGGGGGGGGGTAAACTTTCTTCGGGGGGGCGGACACTGTTAAAAGTATATATTTTCTATATAAATTAAATAAATTTAATTTCGTTCGGGGGGGGGGGGGGGGGGGGGGGCGGTAAAAATTTTTTGGGAGGGGCTTTGCCCCCCCCGAAGCGATGCCTGGAAGAAACTCTGTTTCAGACATCGTCACGGGCCACGCGCGGCAGACGGCTTGCTCGCTCGCGCTGTTTTGTCAGCGAGCGTAGAATCGTCCGCCACAGCACACGCATGTCCTATTCCATGCAATCTACTTATTTACTAATTTGTAATGTAAGCCCAGGACAAAGGCTAAAAACAAAGTGAAATTTACAAAAATTAATTAGGCTAGGCCTATAGTATAGTAGGCCTATACATTACTATACAAAACTCCAAGTTGACCAATTTTTATGTTTGGTCTACGTTTTCCTGGCATAGACTACTATCAGCTAAAAATAATTTAAATTGCACAGAATAACCACCATTTTTCGCGAGATTAGTATTTTTAAAGTTAATGTTGAGATTAACTTGAACAAAGCAAAAAAGTTTATCCAATCGTATGCCAGGTTAGGTAGCCATATTGTTGTTAGCAACCGGCCACTCTTTTAGGTTTGTGAGCATCGCTAGTTACTATGGCTTGAGAATACAAACATTGCATGAAAACAAAAAAATAATGAAAGATGCAAGCAAACTTACAGGATTCTGTTGATTAAATTTCCCACTTAGTCAATGAAATCAAGAACATAAGGTTCTGAAGTCAGTTCCGATTCAGAGTTAAAACAGGAAGTGAACTCCAAGCAGGGTCAACGACTAAAAATAGTAAAAACCATAATTTTCTTGATGAAGGAATGAAAAAGTTCTTCAAAGGCAAAAACTTACTGTGACTTTTCACCCACACCTGGTCTCCTCTCCTACTAGATCTATGTAATTCAACTTGTGTATATTATGTTTGCAAACATATTGCATAAACAATCTTTTAAAAAATGCGAATTAGCAAAAACATAGCATGAAACTAAATTACAAGATAATACGTTAGCCTTAGAAATCATTTATGACGTCCACCACACGGAGAAGGGGGGGGGGGGGGGTACGAGTCCATTTAACGTCCACATGATGAAGTTAACAATGATGTACTTACATTTTAAAACAAACATACGGCCATTATCCTATGATTTAAAAAGCAAAATTAAGACAATAGCGCTTGTGTTTAAACAACAACAACAAAAAAACAACCATATCAGCGTGTTTATTAATATAATATCACACAATTTATAGATTACCTGCTCGGCTGGGGGGGGGGGGGGGAGGGGGAGGGGGTAATCACCATGACATTTACCAATATCATCATCATAAGAAAGAATTCGTCGAAAGTGAACGGGGGAAGGGGGGGGGGGTCTAAAATTCTAAATTTTTACGGACGTTATAAATGGTGACCCCCTAATTTCGTTTTTAAATATTTACAATTTTGGGGACATTAGCGTGTGTTATCTTATTCGTGTTATCTTTTTCGCGCACGCCTTTTTTCATGGCAATCATGGTGTCAGTTCTTCCAGGCATCTCTTCGGGGGGCGAAGCCCCCCCCCCCCCCCCCGAAAATTTTTTACCGCCCCCCCGAACGAAATGAAATTTATATAATTTATATAGAAAATATATACTTTTAACAGTGTCCGCCCCCCCGAAGAAAGTTTACCGCCCCCCCCCCCCGAAGATTTCAAGTGCCCCCCCGAAGAAAAAAGTCTGGAAGAAACACTGCATGGTGTTGACCTTTGCATTCACTGGCTTGTATCCAGTTTACATTAATATACTACTCTCCGCCACAGTTAGAAGTAATCAGTTGATTTGAACAATGGGGAATTAAATTAATTTCAATGAAAAACAATCTTCAAGAACGAAATGAAATGTATATAATTTATATAGAAAATATATACTTTTAACAGTGTCCACCCCCCCCCCCGAAGAAAGTCTACCGCCCCCCCCCCCCACGAAAATTTCGAGTGCCCCCCCCCCCCCCTGGAGAAAAAGTCTGGAAGAAACACTGTTTACTACCACTTTTCTTCCAGAGCATTGTAGTTTTTACTATTTTTGGCAGATTATTTCCTTTTTCTTATTTCAGTGGCTTCTCATTTTCAGGTGACAGATAATTTTATCTTTAAAAAAAAATGTACAAATTACTTTCCTTAACGTGGCAGATGATTAAAAGAAGTAACTGCTTGGAAAAAACTTTATCCCCCCCCCCCCCCAGCGCCGTGTAGCCGGCAGAAGATGCAAAATTTAATGACCTAAATAACTGCGCAAAGGGCAAAAGTTTATTATTTAAAAATTGGTTAAAATTCATGTCTATATCCCGAGTTGTCATCCCCATTAGTGTTTTATAATATAATAAGAATAATCGAGATAGTTTAGGGGAGATCACTCCCGCTTTATTTAAATCGTTAGTTCAGCATACAGTAGTAGTATTGATCATTAAGCGCACTCGGTATTAAAATTACATTAGCCCTAAGGAAGAAAAATTCGTTGTAATTATTATGACAATGACATTTAAAGCCCTACGGGATACCATACGATGGCCTGCGCCACTAGATTTATGTTTCGTATAAATTTATCTCGTCTTAAATTTTAACTACTCCAAAAGTGTAGAGAGTTCTCTACGTCACACATCCGTCTCCGCCATATCGGTGCACACAGATTCGCAGAGCGTAAAATTAAAATGGTGATTTGTGCCGTTAAAGGTTGTGATACTCGAAGTGGAAGGTTCAGTTGTAAAGATATTTCTTTATTTCGATTGCCAAAAGTTAGGTACAATCAAGGAGAGAGAGATCGCGAGTTATCTGAGCGTAGACGCCGTCAATTTCTGAAAAACATTTATCGAAGCGGCATCAATGAAAAAGCTATAAATAACATGCGAGTTTGCTCACGACACTTTGTTTCAGGTAACTAGATCTAGATATAAAATATGGATATCTAGTAAATCTCAGTATTAATACTTAATTTAAATTACAGACGATGTAGAATAGGGAAAAGTTCATAGTTGACTGTGCTAAACAAACTCACGGTAAAACTCCATTTTAGCATATTATTTTATTCCCCGCTTCACGTTCACCTCCAGTTGAGCATATTTTATTATCAACACAACCAAAACAAGGAAAACACTAGACCTATTTCTTTATGAACTTTTGTTTTAATTTTTGATAATTTACATTTGTCTTTTGTCAAAACTTGAGAAAAATTCAAATTTGGAATATTTTATTGAATGAGCACTTTTTTTTTTCTTTTGAAAATAGGTTCGTGTCATTTTAGGATAAACTCATAAATGCAAGTCCATTAAGTTTGTATTGTTAAAAATATCACGCACTCATGATACTATAAATAAACTTATATGAACTCACTAGGGCCCTAAGCTGCTGATGTATTGTATGATGATAAATAAAGTCAATGTGAACTGACGGTGAACCCTTGACCATGTAGCGATTTTTCTCTCGCCGACGATCACACCCTATGTAATAGAAACTGTAATGCTTATTTATAATCCTTTTTACCGTTTCTAATTAAAACACATATTCATAAAAAAATAAGTAGATCCATATTTACCACCAAATCTACTAATCCTAGTGTTTTCTTAACATTTTTGTGTGTTTTGGTTGTGTATATAATAAAATACACTCAAAGGGAAGTGAACGTGAAGTGGCGAATAAAATACGCCAAAATGGAGTTTTACCCAAACTCACTATCACTATGTATTCCCAGCTAAAGGAATTTTGGTAATCTATCATTTTAGGTGCGTAAAATCGGCAGAGGCTAGTAATGTGCGAAAAAATTGCCTCATTGATCCTATTATATAATCTGTTCATGAAACTGTTTTCCCCTGCGTCTTTTACAATGAAACCAAGTGTAGTAGGCCTAATTGTCATTTCGCATTGTGTGTTTTTACCCCACACACTATATAATTGTTTTCTGCATAAAAGTGCATGCTTTAGGAATTTTTCCAAATGCGTTGAAATACTGAGATTCACACTTTCTTCTAACACCTAATGCCTAACATCAATAAATGCCACCCTCTCTTTCCACAGATTGATTGAGGTACTGTAACCTACTATTACTCTGCATATCACATGATCTTAAATATGAATTCCTGACTCCTATTTTTAGATTGCGTGACACACATTTTCAGAGTTACCCCTGACGCTCAGTGATCCGGGTAGTCACTGATATAATTAACTATTAATTAAGTTGCTAATATTCTAATATTGACCTAACTTCAGATTATAAATCTAAAATAAGGTTAAATAACCTACTTTTTTCTCTTAAAAATATAAAATACAATGAATGCAAACTCTGCTTTCTAATCCTTCCTCCTGCCATAGTTGCAATAAATGCTATTATTATTGTAAGTTATCTCATTTGTATATGGCCGGCATGAAATAATAACCCACTGGGAATAGGCATTTCAGCGCAATTTTCAGCCAACTAGTAGTGGTAGTCTTATAAGCTACAGACATTTTATTAGCTATATAATATTACTACTGTTGTGCATAAGTATTAATTTGCAATTTTAGGGACTGCACTCTTATTAAAGTTAAATTTTAAAAAACTGATTAATACATAAGCCTGAATAAAGAATTTGTTTTAATTTTAGTAATTAGGCCCTAACTTAATTTTATTAGTTTTACTAGATTTTAAAAGTTTCATTTTTCTATATTTGTCCAGGTAAGCCAGCAAACTTCAGAGATGAGAAAAACATAGACTGGGCCCCAACTGTTGCTCTGGGACCTAAATATGTCACTGAAGAAAAAAGATGCGACAGGGTCTTACGGAGCCAGGTAAAGAAGCAGAAAAAACGGAGAGGAAAGAAGGAGGGTTGTAAGTTAAATAAACAATGCGGAAGCAAGCAGGGAGCATCCAGTTCTCATTTGGATGATGATGTAGGTAAGAATATATCATCAGCAGTCACATGACAGCACCACCATTGCCACATGCTATTTAAATAATACATATATACTTTAAATTTTGAGAAATGCAGAGTGGACGGAAAGATGTTCTTGTTAACTAAAAAGCCATGAGTTGGGTACCATAGATCATCCATAGACTAAATTGACCCTTCAATGTATGTGCTACGGTGCACCAGTGAAGGAAGTAAAAAGGCTGGTGGAAGCCTACTGGTTTAAAGTAAAGTTTCCCTTTCAAACCTGACAGTCTATGGGGCAATTGAAGTAGAGTTCACTTGTTTCTGTGACTACTGGTTTAGTGGCTTGCATATTTTTGAGATATTATTGGTTTTTGAACATTGCTGGAGTGAGTTCTGCCATAAGGCTGTAAGAGAGAGGTGCAGTTACACAAATAGTAGCTTATCCAGCAAAAGTCCAACTTTGAGCAGACTAGTAATTATTTTCCAAATCATAATGTTAAAAAATTAAAGTTCATTGGAGTACTGGCTTTAGCCCCAATTATTTTTAACAATAATATTATAATTACTTGTTTGATGATCCAATGGTAGGATACATGATTGCTAGCTAAAAAGTCTTGAGCTTTTGGTACATCACCTGACACTAAATTCCTCATAAGTTGAGGCTAAACTTACTATACTAATATCTAAAGCTCTCTGAAGTTTTTGGTCTTTACTTTTTAAAAAATATTTCATCACAATTTTTATTTTATTCTGAAACAGATTCAAGTCAGCAAAGTGAAACTGTGGTACCAACAGCACTAGTTATTAGCAAGCGACAAAATGGAGACAAACGAGCTTTACATATATTTGGGTAATATTTATTAAATATATTTTTTTAAACAGGGCCTACTAGTCTCGTTGGCTGTTTTAAATAAATTTATTCATTATAGTTTTATGTATTTATGGTTTAGCTGGGACATGGGCCTATACCTATATTCTAAAAAAAATTCAGTCTGTTATTAATAAATTATCGTTATGGTATTTAATCTGCTGTGTATTTCCAATTTATTTTTTTATAAAAAATTATTATCTTGGTTTAGCTTAATTAATATCTCTTTACTATTTCAAGATAAGTGAAGTAGAGTTTATCTGGTTCTGTGTGACCAAAGCAAAAGCTTGTGACTATATCACAATGCTCATCACTATTTCCATCTGTTGGCCACTGAGTTTTGGACTCAGGGATGTCTTAATGACACAAATCTTGGATATCGTGCGATATTGAATACTGTTTTGATTTTTTAAAAATTTTGATTTAAAATTTAGTTATTTTTCTCCTTCAGGTTTGATTAGTAATAATAGCTGTTAAAAATGTATTGAATAAGATAATCATCTTTGCGCATTGGTGCCCAAGTCACATGGGGCAGATAGAGTTCATCTGCTCCAATGATTCTGCATACAAGAGGTAGTGTGGTCAGCAGTATCCCCAGTTTCCTCTTTTCCCTAGTGAGAGTCAGGTACCCATCAGAGCTGGGTGTATCCAGGGACATCCTACAGCCCCGGATCTGAAATCAATACTTTCATGTTCGCTGTCAAATGATTTACCATTTGGCCATGTCATCACGGAATAGGATTATAAAACTATCTATTTGATTCAGTGATCTATATTTAATCTGTATTTAAAATATTTTTTAGGATAAATCAAAAAATCGTTGATGATAATGATGAAATGGAATCTTCAGCTGATAATACAAGCATCCTTAACAAGTAAGTTAATTACTTTAAAAATAATTCTTTTCTGCTACCTTCATCTTAACACAGTAAACTAAACATTAATATGCATTTCCTGTAATTATCTTATGTTCAATTAGCCATAGACTAAACTGTTAACTAAGTATGGCTGACATAATTGGGCAACTAATTAATATTTTTTAGATTAATTTAAAATAATTACTTTCCTTGAAGGGGCTTTCTTAATTAAAAATTTTTTTAGTTCGGTAATAATGTTTTAACATTTTCTTTTCAGTGTAAAGACATTTGGAACTCATACAGAACACCCATACTCTGTGAGGTATGACTGACATAATTGGGCAACTAATTAATAATTTTTTAGATTAATTTAAAATAATTACTTTCCTTGAAGGGCTTTCTTAATTAAAAATTTTTTTAGTTCGGTAATAATGTTTTAACCTTTTCTTTTCAGTGTAAAGGCATTTGAAACTCATACAGAACACCCATACCCTGTGAGGTAAAAAAAATGTTTAATCGCATTTACTAAAGTGTTAATACATTTATGAAAATAATTTTGTGTTCTGCCAGATAGGTGTGTGAGTGGAGGGGTATTTTCAACTGTGATGTCATTATAGAGCGAGGGTCATCCCTTTTGATGATGCTAGAGGGTAATTGCTAGAAACTTGCTAAAACAGTGAAGCGTCGTTTATTTATGGACAACTAGTAATATTTAACAGTGTTTTTAAGATTGTTCATTTGCTTCTTGAAGATTCATAAAATGTAACTATCTTTTCCCCTCAGCATTGTTAAGGTGAAGCATAAAGAAAAAGATGAACAAGATAGTGCCAGTTTTGAAATGCCAGATTGTAGTTTGGTTAAAGAAAATGTGATTTGGTAAGATTTGGATCTGTAGGCAAACAAATACATAAAATTTTAAATAAAATATTTTTCCGTTCTGTTCAATTATGGACTTTGAGAATTTATGAGATTAAGGCATAATTATTTACATTATATTTTATATACTATCAAGTAAACATAAATAGTTTAAAAAACATATACTTTATAAAGCAATTTCCATTTTTGGTATAGAATTAAGCAGGATGTAAACTTCTCATAAATAATTTGTTTGGAGTTTCAAAATCCAATAGTTATTACTTTAATGACAGACATTTTTTGTTTTTGTTGAAAACAGTTCAAATAACTTTTACTGTACCAGACCAACCTCATTGTTAGAAGAATTTAATGGAAATACATCAAAAGAAAAAGAGAGGTGATTTTTTTAAATTATTTGTATTAGATAAGGTTTTATAACTTCATAATTAATTTAACTTAAGGTTTTCATTTTTGTTTTTATCAAACTTATGAGCACACATTTTTTCAACACATATTTAAAACATGTATTTAAAAATGTTTATTAGGACTTTAGTAGTTTATGCAAGTAAATATAAAAACTTCAATCTCTACCTATATTATATACATTTTTAAATTGTTTTACATGATCTGTCAGCCTGTACACAAGTACAAAGCCGAAGCCTGTTACTGACATACCCAAAACTGTCTTAAAAACTGAGTAAGTTGATATACAAATTACGTAACAAATGTTCATCTTCACCATATTTGCAAAGGTTCCTCTCAACTTTCTCTTTGTACTTTTATAATCATAGTAACTTTTAGGATTTTTTTGTTTATAAAAAGCAGAGTAAGGGCCAATTACTTATTTAAACAGAAGTTTACAATTTACTCCTAATATAATTTTTTGAAGGTTTTTCCTCATTTATTTTATCCTTAGGATTAAAACTGAACTTGATGATGAACAATCTGACGATAGCATGAGCCAGGAGCCATGTGAAACATGGTATATTTTTCTATTGTTTTCCTAAATTGATCTCCTTAGAATTTTACAAAGCTTAGCTTTATCTCTTTATTAATGTAATGTCATTTTCAGGGTTAAAAATGAAGAAAATGGTGCAATGTATAGTGTCTTCAAATGTGCATGATGTTGAGCCTATCAACAAGAGTGTGAGTCACTTATCTTTTATAAATGTAGTGGGTTAATTATTACCTTATTAAATATTTAAAAATTCATTAGCTTTAACCCTTTCAGCTGACAGCAGTAAATTAACGTTATTAGCACATACATCTCATACATTTTTAATCTATATATTTTGAATTATGCTCAAATAATTCATTCTGTGTGAAATGTAGTACAGTTTTTGAAAACCTACAACAATTGCGTAGACCAACATGGCAAGGAGGGAGCTATTCGTACAATAATTTGTGGGGCTGAGAGATAAAATGGGAAAAAGTAGGTTGGGGGAGTAAGGGTTAAAATTTTACAGAAAAATTGATGTGTGAAGGGTGATGTCGTATAGTTTGGTGTAGTGGAATTTTGTTTTTGTTCACTTAGTTGTTTTACCTAGGTATAAAATACATAAATATAAACTGTTAGAGAAAATAGAAAGATTGTTTTTCAGAGCGCATGCTGGACAATGCAGTATTGCATCATTTATTTATTTTTAGTTGTATTCCTGTAAATTTTATTGATACTGTAAACACTGGTAATAATGTTTATTAAATTGAAAAAAAACATGTTTTATTTACGCTGTAGGCCTATAGATTTATATATTTATTATTTACTTATTTTCAGGAGAGTCCACACACAAATGGGTGTTTAGATAGTTGAACGATGATTATTTTGCCTTGTGAATGAAGGAAAAGAAACAGAGTGACTTTTTGCTTCAAGGATCTTACAAATTCAAATGTCCCTGCTCAGAGTACCATATGTAGCAAGAAAAGAAAAATGTATACCATAATCTTCAGCAACCCTTAACCATTAGACAGTTTTTCACAAATGGTGTTAATTTAATTCTAGCAGAATGCAGAATTGTTTATTGTTTAAGAAAACATAAACAAGTCGGATGAAATTTAAGAAGAGGAAGCCGTATGGCTTCTAGAAAAAGTACAATAAAGTACCTCACAGGAGATAAAGAGAATGTACACATTTTCTGAAGGAAATTAAAATATTAAAATGAAAGCTTTTTTATATAGGAAAAGAATGCTTATAACATAAATACTGAAAATGTGTACATTTAATTAGAAATTATTTCTTGACAGGCTAGAAGCAATTTGACAGATATTTAAAAAGAGCATATTTCAAAAAAGCTTTAATCAAAGAACAATGGACCATTTAATTAGAGTTTTAAAATAGGCTTTGTCCGCTCCTAATTATTTATAACTTGACTAGATAATCCTTACAGTTTGAGAAAATGCAACTCAGTTCAATTTTCAGCTAGTTTTGCAGCCTGAATCAAAATGTATTATTTTGTTATTTTTATTTAGTGAAACTCACAAATACAATTACAATGTATATTTTCATCTGCAATCAGTCATTTTTATCTCTCATGTCCCAAAGTGTTTTCATAAAAACAAACTGATGGTATCTTGTGGCTAAAAATGTAGTCTTTCTTTCCTTGATTTCAACAAGGACTATAATTATGTCATTAGTTTTATTAAATAAATTTCAATTGTTATCTGCATTATTCAGTGTTTTAATTTTTATATTTTTATTTGATTTTTCATATATAAATGATTTAAATGATTAACTAACTGAATTACCTTAAAATAGCAATTAAAGCACTAAAAGAACGTTCTAAATGTGTTATTTCCTTTTTTAAAAAAACACTAAGCATTGCACACTTTTTAAAATCTGATTTATTATCTCTAAGTAGTAACTAGTAATAATAGTAGTATATATTTTCTATATAAATTATATTTCGTTCAGGCGAGGGGGGGGGAGTAGACGTTTTTATGGGGGCTTTGCCTCCGCTCCCCCCGTCGGAAGAGATGCCTGGAAGAAACTGCATGTTTCATCTGCCCAATCGACCTTTAGGTCTGAAAGTGCTTTACATTTTTGTTACTTTATAATAAACTAAAATTTCGAAAGCAAAAGAAACTTTCTCTTGTTAGAAATAGGAATCAAGAACTGTAACTCTGTTCTATTTCTCGGATGCCTTTGGTGTGTGAAACAAGTAGATCTAGTTAGTAGATCTATTAGATAAATTCCTCGATGTTCTGTCGTTTTACTTTTCTTTATTTTTTTATCAAGAAGAGTCTAGAGTTCTAGATCTAGATCTAGAAAAAGTAAATAGATTCTGGATCTAGATTCTACTATACTACTATACATTTGCTTGACTAACTAGAGTCTTAGTAATGGACAATCCAATCACAATGGTTGATGGGGCATCTCTAAACGCTAAGTTCTAGATCTAGATCTAGATCTAGTAAAATCTAAGCTAAACTCAACCAAACTCATTGAACTGAATGCAAAAAAAAAAAAGTGCAAGCGAAATGAAATTTTTATTTGGCACTTCTGACCTACTCACTGTGCCCTCTCAGTCTCATCTCGTCAACCCTTAGTAAACCCTTAATTTGTAAGCCTTTAGTAGCCTTAGTTAACTAATAACTTAACTTAACAATAACATTATACTATAATTTATAGTTCACAGTTGCATGCTTTGGACACTGCAATGACAATGTTACTACTAGATCTAGATCTAGATTCTAGTCAATTCTAATGGCACATTCAGTCAGTTGTGTCAGAGTACTAACTTAACTGTGTGTAGCTACTACAGACTACTACTAGATCTAGTTCAAAACCCAGGTCTTTTTTTAATGTTGACAATCTTACTATCAGCAACTAGCACAGCAAACCATAAATGATAAAATTAATCGAAGTGACTACTCGGAAGAAGATTTTTCTCCCCATCTCCACTTAGTCGGCAAAAGATAGCTCTGCACATGCGTAGTGACCTAGGGTTAGGGCTAGAATAGGGTTAGGGATAGGGTTAGGGATAGGATTAGGAATAGGATTAGGGATAGGGTTAGGGATAGGATTAGGGTTGGTGTTAGGGTTCTGCGGTTGTAAACACACGCATGCGCAGTACCATCAAAAACATCGTCGCGATATCATTGGCAAGTTGTAGTTTCTCTCCATTGCGCATGCGTATCTTTTACCAGCTAGCATTGGCCAAAATTAATACATAATATGATGATTGGCATTGGTGGCAAGAGATGGTTGTGGGATGGCTGAGTGTGCAACATGAACAAGAAAAATGTACAAATTGGCTACAACATAAATCATAAATTGTCACAAAAATCTGCAAATGTGATGGCCATAAGAAACCTATTGTATGCCTACAACTACAAACAGTCAAACAGAAGAAATTTAATATTTTCATAGAAAATATTTTGGACAATAGTGAAAGGGCCAGTCTAAACTGGGTATTCAGGTGCATCAAAGTACAAGATAGGACAGCAGCTAGAAAGCATTAATTCTCAGCACAATTTTCCATAGTTTCTTATGGCTGGACTACTTGTACCTACATTGATTATGATCAGTTAGAACAAGGAAGTTTTAAAATGTTTCCATTAATTTTTAATTATTTATTTCTTACATGCACACACAATACTCTCAGTAAATTAAGAGCTTTGATGCATACATACCAAAAGTCTGGAAAGACAGTTTGCCACCAGTTTTCATAAAACTTGCAAGAATCTGTATATCTAAATCAGTTTTATGTTTACTAACTTTCTTATTTATTTTTTTTGGAGATTCCATTGCAGACCCTTATAAAAATAAAATATATACTATCCTATTTCAAAATATAAATGAACAAGTAAACTAGCTCTATGAATATTATTTTGTTTTACTTTACTTTTAATACCCAGGTTCTAGAAGAACAGAGAACCATCTTGTGAGAAAATGATAAACTCTTGTTGTGTTGTGAATTGCAAGAACAGCCAACACAATAACAAATCTTGTCAATATTTCACTGTTCCCGTCTTGAGAAAACATGAGGGGCCTAAGGCCAAGGCAATTTCAAAACAAAGAATTCAACAACTGTTGAAAATCATTAACAGAAAAGATTTCACAGAGAAATCCATTAAAAGCAAGGAGAGCCTGACTGTGTGTACTTACCACTTAGTCTCAGGTATGAGGCCTACTTTTATGTAATAGTTTTCTTATAAAAACAACAGCAGTACAGTAACATATTCTGTAAGAACTGTTTTGGATCATGACTAGAATCTGAAATGTTATCTTCATGAAATAGTTATAATTTTTTAAATAAACCGGGAGTGATCTCCCCTAAACTTTCTTGAATATTCTTATATAACTTGGAATATAGACATGATTTTTAATTACTTAAACTTTTAAAAATAGAATAGAATCTCATAGAAAAAAATAATTGCACCAAGCGAATGCCAAAACAAAATGTGCATAATAGTGCGCAATATTATTAGTACTTTATAAATTTAAATGCAATTTTTGAGAAATCGGAAATAGCGTAAAGTAGTACTTCCGGTCAACGGAAATTACTCAAAATTTAACAGAAGGTAGAGAATTAGATCTTTTACTTACATGTGAAATTTCATTGATCTATCAGAAATAGTACTCAAGTTATATGCTTTTGAAAAATTCAAAGTAGAAAAAGTACCACTTCCGGTTATCAGAAATCGCTCAAAAGTTGATCAGGATCTACGATTTTGATAAAATACTTATATATGAAATTTCATCAACCTAGCTGTAACGGTACTCAAGTTATCATGTTTACACACCGACAGACACACAGACATAGGGACAAGATTGCAAAATTATATTTTTCCGTATCAGTGAGGTGTAAAACGTCAAGATTTGTAAAAATATCGATTTTTTTTTTGCACGATTACAATACTTTCTCTATACTTCGTATATACGAAAAAGTAAAAATGACCCAATTGAAGAGAGCCACCCAAAACATAGTACATTGGAGAGGTGTAGCTGCAGCCCTTTGGCCCTCAGGGGCTCCACATGATTAAAGCTCTGAGCCACATAGCAAAACAGATTTTACATTGGTACTAACAAAGCACAACTGCTAGCCTGACAATCTTAAGTTTGATTTTAGTGTTTGATCCATTCATCCAGCCCTGGCAGATTCCTGACTTCATTCGGGGGAGGAGGGGGGGTGGGGGAAGTAAAGGTGATTACAGGCATAGTGTTGACCACATAACTCTTTACATGCTGAGGTAACAGAGAGATACACTCAACCATTATTCTTCCCATTATGGGAAAGGATACTTTTATAAATTAGTTTAGGATTTGTTTTTAATTAACTGTCTTGGTCATTACATTATTGATTTTTGCCACCTTTTAGGGTTCTGGGTTTGAATTTGAAATATATAATTGACACTTTTATTTATGTTACCATTTATTTTCAACAAAACAGAAGTAGTGTTCAGTTTTTTCCACAAAAATGTAAACTTGAAAATATCATGATGATAGTTGAGGACTTGAATAGTAGAGTACATAACTTCAGACCACACCATCATCCATTTCTACAAGAGTGTCCAAAAAAGTCCATAATAACTTCCTTTTCTGTTTACAATTATAAACTTTCTTCTCTTTTTAAAATCATATTCTTGTTTTTTTCAACATAGGCAAACTTTGCCCAAAACTGGAAGGAGATGAAGTAAGAAACTGTACAGTATCTGAACATGTATGTAACAAAGCTATTAATAGACTGCTGCCCGTACCAGCTGACCAGTCATGTGGGACACTGCAGACAGAGGTGACTGCTATAGAAAACCAGGCACTTGCTGATAACATCTTAGACAATGTGGAAATGGAATGCACTATAAGCAGCCAAAATAATGATGAACTAAACTATGACACAGTAAGAGAATAATGATTTTACTAGATAATTTAGAGATGGTTCCTTTCTTGCCTATGGAGCATGAGTTAATCCTGTTGTTAGGCAAAGGGCTGCAACTACACTTTTCCAACCTATTCAGGTTGGACAACTCTCTTCAGTAGAGTTTATGTAAGTCCTTGCGTTGTCTTCTATAGTCACCTCCAGGATGTTTTTTGTTCGGCCCACATTCTCTTTTACCTGTGGATTCCAGACTAGTGCCTACTTTTCTGTTCCGCTCAGCATAAGTCAAATCCATCCTTACTTGCAAGTTTTGATGTCTTTCTTTACAGGCTTCTGCTTTGTGCTATGTCACAGACATGCACTCAAGATTATTTTTTCTGGCCATTATATTTTAAGGATGTGTTGTAGGTTTTTGTTTGTGAAGGTCTGTAGCCTGTTGATCTTTGATTGTAGCCCTCCAGGACCCCAAGCCATATTGCAGTACTGCCTTTATATTAGTGTTGTAGATTCTTTTCTTGTTCTGGAGAGACAGGGCTGTGGAATTTCATAATGGTAGCACTTTACTTATCAGAAAAAATTTAACGCCTCAGAGGATAAATAATTATAATGGTGATGATCAATTTTCTTCATTATTATTGTTTTTCTACAAGGCATATTGATCTCCCCTATTATATTTTTCAATGCTGATTTGATCTTTCCACATCGCAACATTGTCTATATTGTCTGAAATATTTCTCCCTTTAAAATGATGAAAAAAAAATTTCATGTTTTTCATGTGAATGTTGTAAATTAAGAAATGATTTTTATTCAGGTATAACAACAAAAATTGTTCTAACTTTTCAATCTATAGTTTAGAAAAGATGAGCATGAACACTCTAATAACTCTCCATCTCCTAATGAAAGTTTTCTTTTACGGTAATTTTGTTTTAATTATTTCAAAGTATCTGTTATGTTGAAAAGAATGTGCTTGTGTGTAGGTGTGGGTGTCATGTGTAAAATAAATTAGGTACGCCTAGGTCAGTGGTTCTTAAGCTGGGTTCGATTGAGTCTATCTCAGGGTTTAGGCTTAGGTCAAGACACACAGCTGACTAATAAAGTTTGCGATCAGATTTCATCAGTGTGGACAATAGAGCTATTAAGAAGTGTTTGTTAAATGTGCTTTTGAAACTGGCGGGGTTGTAGATGAGTGAAGTCTTTGAACCTCCAGCATAATGCAAACTTTATTTTATAAACAATACTGTAGTTTCAGTGGCTAAAATTTACCTAGTTATATATGCTATATTATTTTACCTACTAAAAGTAATTCATATTAGAATTTACAGTTAGGGCTTGAATATAAGTAGGATTAATATTTAAGTTTGAAATTAAGCTGAATTTAGGTTTATTAGAAGTATATGTTTAGTTTTGTGAAATTTTATGTTTATTTTTTGTTTTATTTTATCTTCAGATAAGAACTCAAGAACTCAAATGTATTAGTATGTTTAAATGTGTATTTGTATATTTTCTTCTCAGTTCTATAGATGATTTGACCACACAATGCAGCGCTCCAGCAGAACAACCTTATCCTGTGAGGTATTACACTCGTAATTGTTTCACTTTCTTTTAAAGGGTAAAGATAGTTATTATTTTATATTTTTTAATAATCCTTAGGTTACTGATAAGGCCTGAAGAGTTGTAAATCAAGATACTAGTGGTGTTAATAAGTTAGTCTATCTAATTGATTAGTATAATAAAAATGTGGTTGGAATTATTATATGTTATTTCAACTTACTTAAAGCTATCTCAGCTATATGACCTAGTAACAAATTTGCAAGCAAAAATACTCTTACTTTTCAGTTAGAATTAACTCTTCATATCATTTGTAAAATCCAACTTTGTTTATTTTTTAGTATTTTTAGAGTGGATCAAGAAGCAAGAAGTGATTCCTGTGATACCTGTAATGACCAACTTGATTTCTATTATGCTGAAGAGGACGCAAAATGGTAAATGTTCCTTGCTCTCTATAATAGATTTTGAATAACTTTTCATAAATTTTACAAAGTATTCAATTAGAACAATACTATATAGGCCTACATATTTTTATGAAATAAAAAAAAATAATAAAATAAAACAAAACTTGTTTTTCACAACAGCTCTGAGCACAATTACTGTAAGAGACTGTACACATCACTGCTGGAGGAATTTAATAATTTAGACACGACAGCAGGACAACATTCCACCAGGTATATTATTAAACACATTTTTTTTTGCTAATTTTATTCTGTTTGTGTCTTCAGCTGTTTTGTTACATTGATACAAATACTTAACGTATCAACCATTGTCACTATATTTTGGTTACTGTTTAATTTTTTGCTATAACAACCAAAAGCAAAATTTTGTAATAAAACTCACAACCTTAAATAAGGAAATAATTTTCTATTTCCATGAACTAGTGTATTTTAAATTTATTCTACAGTTGTAATGACCAGATAAGCATAAAAGAGGAATACTTTATTGAAACAGTCAATGCAGAAAATGTATCAAAGTAAGCTTATATGATACATATCAATGAAGGATAATCTACTATGTCTAATTGTATTCATTATTAAGCATTTCTAAATGTTTTGTTTTGTAGGACTAGAAATCTATTTTACTACTTTTAGTCTCATTTTTAATGGAATGCTTTTAAGTTTGGTTACACTAAAGTGCAAAGATTTTTACAAAATATTTCATCCTATGCAATAGTAAATTTAGAAGTTTAGTTTTTAAAATAATTCATTTTGGAAATTTCTACGTCAACCAGGTTGAAACATATTGAGAGCTGTTGTGCTGACTTAGAAATCAAAGAAGAACCTACTAGTGATACAGATTGTCAAACCACAGATCTACCAGAGTAAGATTTTATTTACCAGCTAAACTTTAAGAAGCAGATATTTTTTTTCTGTACCAGTATCACTTTATTAGAATAATCTATAATTCTTTGTAGAAATAAATCAAATAATGTGTTAAGTATTACTTTATCTAGTTTACTAATAATGTGATTGTTCATGTTTAGAGTGAAGATTGAGGTTGTTAATGATGAGATGTGGGAAGAGAGTTTGAACCAAAGACCAAGTGATTTAGAAAATGGGTAAATTCTTTTTCTACTTCTCTGATTAACATATGTGATTTAACACTCAAGGATAATATGTTGGTTATAATTAGAGTTTATATCATATAATTATTAAAAGTGAATATTATATAGCATTAAAGGAAAGGATCAACATTCTTTGTTTTCTTTCATTTTATTTGTTGTAGTTGATAATATAAATCAAAACTAAACATGTATAGCACCAATACAAATTTAAAGGAAATATCACTTTGTGTAGATTATTTAAAAAATAAATTATTAGAAAGTATTTACCATCAAACGTTTAATGGAGTATCAATACATTTTTAGTTTACTTTTTAAAAATCCTGTGACAAAAATGTATACTATCTTTTTTTTTTTCACCATCTTTTTTTTTCTCACTATTTTCCAGGGGATTATACCTTACTGAGGTGACCGAAGCTTTATCTGAGGAACTGAGAAACTTTAATGTGTTAAATTTAATGCTGTCTGCTGGGTTCTTATAGAACTGTGTAACTTAACCTGAACTTCACTGACTCAGTGGAACCTGATGCTGTAGCTGTACCAGAATCTGCTTTGGAAGCAGCTTGCTAACAGTGTTAACTGAGTGGACAAAAACAACTAGAAATGATGCTGTTATTTTCTCAGCATTTAAAGCTACAGTTGACATTTGGTTTCCATTGACTATTGTATTGTTAGAAAGTGTCAAGTATGGGTTTGTTGATGTGTATGTTGTTGTAAGGGGTGAACATGTGTAACAAGGGAAGTGACTGGTCAAGTGACAGCATCTGTGTTGATAGCGTGAGAAAATGGAGGTATGTAATATTGGATGACAGTTGTTTGTGTGATGGTGGATGTGTTTGATAGTGGATGTTTCAAACAGTGGATGTGTTTGGGAGTTGAATATGTGTGAAATAGTGGATGTGTGTGGCAGTGGATGTGTGTGATGGTGGATGTGTGTGATGGTGTGTGTGTGTGGTGGTGTATGTGTGTAGCAATCAATAGTTGTAATTGGAATCAGAGAGAGATGTTGACAGTGTTACTTGGAAGAATGTGATATTAAAACTATTTATCTCACCCTAACAACTTGTGACTGCTCCTGTCTAAACCAGCGAAGTACGCCCTCAGTTTGTCTCAGGACTAAAATATCAGGACCCTCAAAGTTCTCAGCTCAAAAAGAATAATGGTCCTTTAAACCATTACGTTTCTCACTTGGTCTAAGTTACAAAAATTAATGAGTCACATCACTAGTGAGACTTTATAATTATAATCAAAGCACTAGATGTCTTTACTGATCCTATGCTAAGTAATTATGAAAAGGGGAGATAAGCACATTGTTTATAATAAATGCAATAAGTATTGTGGAGAACTGTTGCAAAGTTATTTTAAAATTTTAATGAAGATTTCAGCTTCAGCATATCAAGTTAGAGCTCACCAATGCAATATTTTTTGTGTTGACCTTTTTGATATCCTTAGTGTTTGTTATTACAAGTTAGATGAAAAACACTCTAAATTGATATACATATCATATATTGTTGAATGTATGAGATATGATATGAATAATTAAAAAAAATATGTTAGCTTTAGTTGTTTTACTTCTTGTCATCATTGTTTTTGTCTAATTAAATATTACCCTAGTTCTTTAATTTCACAAACTTACAATAAAACCCTTCTAAGAGAGACAACTCCCAAATATTAAAAAAAAAATGCTGCCGCGCAGTCAGTGTGGTTGGACAAAGCCTCCGGTAGCACACGCAAATAGAAAAGCGGGCTTAAGTCTGAGTCGATCAGTAATAGGCACATGACATGTTGACAATTATGTAGCAGGAAATTCCCTCTAATATTACATTTGCGAACGAGGAAGAAAAAAAATATGTGCGGGTATTGCTTTGCATTATCTGCAAAACACGAAAAAAGGTAATACATTTCTTAAATGAACATCGTTTCAATAAGTTAGGAATTAGGAAATACAAATCATAATATCTGGATTAAAAGTCCACGACGGAAATTTGCTTTGACCTTCCAGCGAGTTGTGTTAGGGTAAAAAAAAAACAACTATAGTCATAAATAATGAATCTAGGATTTTGATGTTGGGTTTATTAAGAGTTTTGATAATATTATGTGTATCTACATATTGGATAGCCTGCTTAGTTTTTATACCCCCTTCTCAAGATTTTCGTCCACAAAATTATTCCATGTATGGAAAATGATGACGTTGCTATCCTGACATGTATACCAAATTTCATCTCCATCGGCCAAATATTATGCAAATTATTACATTGTGTACAAAATGTACGTGTCACAACAGAGTAAAATATAAAAAAACAACGTGTATAAAACATGCAATTCTGGATTGCTATTTACTTGGCATTAGGAAGAAGTTTTTTATTTGAATAATACACAATTCAGAAGCCTTCTAGAATATAATGAAATATTTGTTTTAAATTTTGAAATATTTTTACCAAAATGAAATCCACGGTAGCTTGAGCTTAAAATTTAAACGTTGAAAATGTAAAGCAATAACAGAAAGAAACTTTGTGTTTAAACTATAGACAAGGTGTGCCCGAGTGCAAAACAATATAAAATTCGTGTTTTTTCTTGGAAAATAAATGAGTCGAATTTTATGTGTACTAATATGCTTGGTATCAGGAGATCAGTTGGAAATTCAATATTTTCAAAATCAGACTCCGTAAAGGTTGAGAGTAAATCTTTCATTACTTATTACTATTTCTCTAATTAATTAAGTTTTCAACATTTAACTCGGTGTTAAAACATTGAAATCTTGCTATAGCGATTCAAAAGCCAAAACTAAATGTTAATAAAACAAAGTCGACCAAGTAGCACTGCTCGATCGATAAAACTTGACGTTTCATTTCCGTGTGTCACAGCTGGCAGCGGTGTGTAGACAGGGCTCGGTATTCAAGCGGGTAGGCCCCTACTGTGTACTGATACATCGAAACCAACACAATGTAGGCCTAGGCCTACACTCTTTCGACAAGGTATGGTAAGCAACAAGTATAACGATAGAAAGTGTGCGTCATCTTATCAAAAGGTAAATAAAAACCTCTGTATTTACTTTATATGCCTTTGACATTTTAAACAGTTGCAAAACTTAGATTAAAAGACGGGAATAGCAAATATTATTGAATTGTATTCTAATTTTCTAAAAAATTTTCCTTTATAATTTTTTACTTCTTCAGAACCACCAATTGAAGCTCAACTGCTGTCATCAAATATGTTCTTTGTTGGAGGAGACTTTCCACAATGAAGATTCTAATCGCCTTCATGTGTGCTTGTGTGTTTGTTGTACATGATGTTTCTCCAATTTCCATGCACCATGATAAATTTATTGTTAGTCCTAAATTAGACATTAAGTTGCTGTTACCGATATTCAACATTGTTTTCGACCGAGTTGAAGAAAAATTAACGCATCTGACTCAAACGATCTCATCTAATCTCGCCTGGGCTAGAGACGTTTTGAAAAAATCGGTGCTAGAAATGTTTCCTTCAGATAAACCTTCGGAAAAGCTGTGTTTTAATTTTAATACGATTCACGAAGACGGGTACACATTCCTGATGTTGGAATCCTATCGTGGAAACATCAAAGCTGTTCAGTTTTTACTGGCATTAAAAGCTGATGTGAATGCTGTTGCGAAAAATGGGAAAACAGCTTTGATTCTGGCATCAATGGCTGGACATGATCAAATTGTCGAGTTACTTCTGAAGCATAACGCCAATTTTGATCAAACTTTGGACTATGGAATCAATGCACTTATGATAGCTGCAGTAAATGGATATGAGAAAACAGTGGAGGTTTTCTTACAAAATGACATACATATAAATAAAGACATTAGACAAAAACACAATGCACTAACGCTTGCAGTTTACCGAAACCATACACATATTGTAAAGTTATTCCTAGAGTATAGCATCATAAAAAATATAAAGTTGGGTAAACAGGTTTTATCGCAGTCTCTCTTAACGGCATCGAATCAAGGCAATACAGCTATAGTTGACTTGCTTCTAAATTATATCTCAGATGATGAATCTATAGCACTTTGTGCGCTGCTTGCATTTTCAAAGTATCAACATTCGGTTCTGGAGGTATATTTTAAGCATTATCAAGTTGATTCATTACACATAGGAGACTCTACTTTGCTGTCGTATGCCGCATTTAAAGGCGATGACAAAAATATGAAATTTCTACTAAAACATAAAGCAAATGCAAGCCAAGTTTTACCATCAGCTTACGATTTTGCTAGTGCTTTAATGATAGCCGCAACGAAAGGTCATATAAGCACGGTGAATTTGTTATTAAAACATAATGCTAATGTGAATTACATAAGTAAGAAAGGTGTTACCGCCCTGCTATTGGCAATAAACAGGGATTATGATAAGATAGTAGAACTACTTCTGCAGAACAAAGCAAAAGTGAATATGAAGAGTAATGGAGACGTGACTGCGTTAATGTTTGCCGTCGATAACAGTTCTAGAAAAATTGTAGAGATACTGTTAAAGTATGGTGCTAATGTAGACCACTTTTCAAAAAAAGGGTACACTGCTTTAATTGGTGCAGCTAAAAAGGGACGTAATGACATTGTAGAATTGCTTCTTGAGCATAAAGCAAATGTTCATCAGAAAGACTTTGAGTATGGGCGCAATGCTTTAATGTTTGCATCTTACGAAGGACATTATAATACAGCAAAGCTGCTGTTACAGCACGGTGCTATGGTGGATGATGTTAATATTTTTGGCTATACATCACTTATGGCTGCAGCAGAAAGAGGCCATGACCTTGTAGTTGAACTCCTGTTAGCTCACGGAGCAGACGTTAATAAAGTGCACATGTTTAATGGCAACGCTTTAATGGCAGCTTCTTCCATGGGCCATCTCACGACTGTAAAACTGTTATTAAAACACAACGCTAGCACTAGCCAGATAAACGAATTCGGACAAACAGCATTAGATATAGCTGTTCAACAAAATTATACAGAAATTGTTGAGCTGTTGCGACAGTACACCGCGCCTCAAGACGTTTCCCATCATGAAATCTCAGACCAGCAAATGTCTCCAGAAACAAGACATTCTCTATCACCCGACACAGACACATCTAGCAGCACCTTAACAGTAGCGGGAAACTATGAAGGTACAATCTTGTATTAAATAATTATACACATTCCTTACATCTCTTTCGTAATGCATTTTCAAATTAGAAAATAATTTCAAAGTGACTAAATTATTATTGTAATTGTTTTTGTCAAAACTTTGATTGTCATTTATTTATTCACATTTTTTTTACAGATGACTCTTTATTGTTGTCATACAACCATTTATTCCTTCAACTTTTACTCTTCATCTTAGTTGTATCGGTAATATCAACCTATTTCATTCAAGTGAGTTTTCAACATTTGGTTTTTTGTAAGTTTCAATTCACTTAAAAAAAAGAACAGTGATTATGTAATTCAATGTAGGTAAAAATAATTGTTTTATGTTCAAGCAAAGTCCTAAGCAAGGGGTTATAACTTTTAAAAATAAAATATCGGTTACATAATCACATTATGTAAGTTGAACACTTCACACAAGCACGCTATATCAGGAGTGGTGAACTGTTACAACGCAGGTATTTCAAATCTAAGATTCATAAGTGCATCTTATAAATATATGTATTTATGTATGGAGAGGTGGGGAACCATCCCCAAGTACCCCTGAGATCAGACAATAGCTATGCAAATGCATTTTTTAAACATTATAAATCGAACAGTTCACGTCAAAACTGATTTTATATATGAAAAAGATCATGTCACTCTAGACAAGCATACGTTTTCCAAATTTTAATCACATTTGTGGGGGTTGGGATTACCTGTTCCCTATAGCAATCCTTTTGATTTGTCTATGTAATGTAAATATGTTTGTAGTATTTTTAGAAATTATGTGTTGATTTATTAAAAAGAGGCAGTTAACAAAATAAATAAGACAACGATTTGACCAATCACGATGACTTATTTATTAGTTAAATTTTTCTTCCTGTTTTCTGCCATTTGTTTATTGATTTGTTTTGGGGTTAGATGTCATGTTTATTTAATAATTTAAAACTCATTACTTTTTTTAGTCTAATGAAGAAATTTAATATACAAAAAGATCACAGTGGACATCTTTAAATATTCTAATTTTACAGAAATACATACGGCTATATTCCATATCTAACAACAAGTATGAAGAAAAAATTCTCTCATTACTGATGTGTTTATGGAAGTTTTTTCACAATGTAACTATGACGCCATTGCTTTTACAAAACGTCTGGGAATGTGACACAGCAGTTCCACCCTTTAAGTCAGGATTTTTCAGACTTTTAAATTTTCAAGAAAGAATAAATTGTGCGACATACGTACAGGAAATGTCACCGAACTGTGCCGGATGTGTGGTTATATCGGTAAGAAAAACGAAGAAATCGCAAAAAAACGAAATTTACATGGAGTGTTGCCTAATTCAAGAATACATGAAAACGATTGTAAAATCCATTCTAGAGAAACATATTGTAGACAATCAGGGGGTAAGTAAATTCTGAATTGTTAATATTTAATCATAAAACGTTTTTTTATTTCGGGTGCAGGCCTACATTTAAATTTTATTTTAAATTAATATTTAAATTTCATTTTGAAGCAAGCTTAAAATAATATACAAAAGTAATTTTGATTAAACCATTTGAAATAAAATGTATAGTATGTTAGTGACAAAAAGTTTAATTTTTTTATTTTTCAGACAGACCCAGATGATGCTAATTTTAGAACTTTTTTCAATCTATCCGCTGAAGTTGGTATAGTTATTAAATCAATATTACGTTCTTCCGATAACGTTTTAAAAATAGAACATTTACAGCAGTTTGAAAATTTAAATACTAAATTAGCAAAGTTTACTAAAAACAACTCAACTCTTATGAAAAAACTGCGTTCAACTTTCACTGAAAGCAGTGTAAAAACAACAGAGCCAAAATTAATTTGTTCATTATTTGGCCTGAACGAGCTTTTCGAAAGCTACCTACTTCAGCTAGACATTGGCTCTATCAGACATCAATCTCTGGACTTTTACATACAAAGATGGCTGAAGACCACAGTCCAGGCAATAGAAGAGACAGACCAATCAGCTTCATTGTATGAATGTATGCTTAGAATTGGTTTATCACAGGAAATGGCCAGCACATATTTAGAAAATCTAAGCCAAGAATTCATCAATATGTATTCATCTCTGTATTGGTTGTCTCGGTATTTTAAAAACTTGGCCTCGGTGAATCCTTTGATTACCAATTTACCCAGGAGTTGTGTTTTTGATGGGGAGATGGGTGTTTGGGAAACTCGAGAAGTGCGACGCGACGGCCAAACGTTTACAATTCAAGTCTTAAACGAGAAGTCGTTCCCTGTACACGATAGGCATGGTCGTGATTTAACCTGCGACAGAATAAACCGCTACCTGAAGAAAAAAAAGTCCGCTGATTATATCTACCTTTATCACGGTACTTCTTTGGCGTCCGCAGAAAAAATCGTCGTGAGTCGCGGAATTGATTTACGACAAGGCTCCAAAAATTTAGACTTCTCGCACGGCACTGGTTTCTATGTGATAAATTACCTTCCAAAATGTATTGAGTGGAGTTCTAATGCTAGACCGGAAAACCACGCAATCATTATTTACAAGGTCAGCAAAACAGAAATGGAAAAAAGAAACGGACTTATTCTGGACAACGAAGAACAATGGGGTAGAGTTATTAAGGCATGCCGAAGTGGTTTTAAAGGTGAGATTGGATCTGAGGTCGAGGACGAGCTAGAAGAATATGAATACGTCCGAGGCTACATCTGCTCCAATGGTAGAGCTATAGAAAAAGATGCGGCGGTTCCACTTCAAGTGATGCAGGAAATTGTTGAGGGCGATGTACCGTGTCGACCTTTACAAACGTGCATTTTAAAGAAAAAGTGTGCTGTATGGTTTAACTCCAATATTTTTGGAGTCGTTGTTTACAGAACGCATTAAATATATGATGGTAAATACAAAATATGACATATTAATATTATTATATACATAATGTGCATGAAAATGTATAGTATAATTATAAGATATTATATAACAAATTAACAATTGTATCATTTTCATTTATTTTTATCATTTAAGCTTAAATATTCAAGTATCTTGAAATAATGAATCACATGAAACATTATTACATTATTTATACATTTATAAAACTATTAAAACGTTAAGCTATGTTTAATCGAGTCAATCTGTTTCCTTAATTAAGTAAAGTCGTCTGCTTATGTATCTAAAAGTTCTAATATAAATGAGTTTAATGACTAGTCACGCAGAAACAGTTTTTTTTTAAAATATTCCCATAATCTTTCAGTTAGGTGTTAATTTAAAATTGCTGTTTGCTTCAAACCAGTCTTCAGCAGTATACATGTCATTATTGTACACCAAGTTGATCAAACGTAAACATGATTTAACAATTAAATTTTATGATTTAAATGATATTGTATTTGTCTGAGCTCATTCTGTGGCAATAAATGGTCACTTAGGCCACCACTAATCAGATTGTTTTTCTGGGATGGAGTAGTCGGATGGTAGAGCATACGACTGCCAACACCAAAGTCCCGGGTTCAAGTACGTAGAACGTCCCCGAGTCCACCCAGCTCTTATGGGTACCTAACTCACGTTAGGGAAAGTAAAGCAGATTGGCAAAGTGCTGACTACACTATCCCTTCATATGTCGAGGTCACAGAAACAGGTGCTCTACTTCAATTGTCCCATAGACCGACAGGTTCGAAAGGGAATTTTACATTACTTACTTTACTTAACCAGAATTTTGAACCAAAGTAGATTTTGTTTATTCTCTCACAAATGACTGCATTAATGAGAAAGACTTGCATTGAAGTATTGAGCGAGATAGAAACGTGCTAGTTCATCGCATTTATAGTGAAAGCATTGCTTTAACTATCTACAGAACAGACGGAAAGAGTTGTAATGCATAACTTAGGTTGCTGTAGGTATTCGTAACTCGTGACTTTTCGCGTTAGCAACCTCAGCTAAACTGACCCAACACGCCGATCCTGGTTGGCTAATAAAATCGATGACTACGTTTGCGGTGGTGTAAACGTTTTTGCATTACTACATCATTTATCTGAGTGCTATGAACAGTGGCGTAGTCAGGAATTGGTCATGGGAGGGGTTCAAAGATTTTCCATATGTATACAATCGTATATATATATATATATATATATATAAATAAATAAATATATATATATATATATATATATATATATATATATATATATATATATATATATATATATATATATATATATATAAATAAATAAATAAATATATATATATATATATATATATATATATATATATATATATATATATATATATATATATATATATATAGGTGTCCATGGGAGGGGTTATAACCCCCCCACCCCCCCCCCCCCCTTGCCTACACCACTGGCCATAATACTCTGGGAAATTGTGTAGTAGGTGCCTATATTCGTTTTAAAGAGCAGCCCTACCAAAAGGACTTAAGTGAGTTACAGCAATAAACCAGAAGCAGCGCCTGGCATTTAAACCGAAGATCAAGGGCGATCAACTTGTGTTTTCTTTTAAAATTATTATTTATTTATTTTTTTAACATTAGACCACGAAACGTATGAGCGGTGATAGTGGGGACAAAACCGATCATGGAAATATAGTTCCTTCATTATTTACACTTAAATAGAGTTCTATTCAACCTATTTGATATCTAGGAGCAGAGCGACCGGTAAACTAGTGCATAGTACCCTATAAAAAATAATAATAAAAAAATAATAATAGACTTTATAATGGTGCCCTGCCTAAACGGCCCGGGACAAATTGGCCCCGTCAAAACGACTCCTTTAATATGACCCCATCAAATCGACCCCCGACAAAACGACCCAGTCAAAAGGGCCCCGACATATTGGCTCCCGTTATATTGACTCGCGACATATAGGCTCCCGACAAATGAGCTCCCAACATTTAGGCTTCCGACAAATGGACTCTCGACATATTGGCTCCCGACAAATAGGCTCAGGACATACTGGCTCCCGACAAAATGGCTCCCGACATATTGGCACCCGACATAAGGGCTCACAACAAATGGGCTTCCAACAAATGGGCTCATGACATATTGGCTACCGAAAAATGGACTCCCGACATATTGGCTACCGACATAATGACTCCCGACATATTGGCTCCAGACAAATGAATGGAATGACCACTATTGGCATAAAAGTATCCATTTTTTCCTACCGCCACTACTACTATAACCTCTTTTTAATGCCTGAATGAAATTGTTTTTCATGAACCAACATCAATTCACAAACAAATCAAGCCCTTAACAGCTAAAATCCACCAATTCTAAAATTTTGATAATGTTTAATTTACAACAGTAAAGATCTGTACGATATACATAATGTTTACAGGATAACGACATTTTGTTTTGATAACCTACAAGCATACTGGAGGTAGGAGGGTACAGCGTGGACCCTTCTCCCAACACACTGAGTTGGAACAGCCTATAACCGACTCAATTATGGAAGTCATAGATAGATGACCTTTAAATTAAAACATACTATATTTTATAATAGATAAACTAATATAAAAATAAGGCCTACCGAACAAGAGATGCATACGTTGTATTACTTAAGAGTGTTGGATAAGCTAACTCTAAAGAATATTGATGAAGGGGTCCCACTGGCAGGTGTCATATTCAATGAGACCGCTTTGCCGGGAGACTTAGTCACTACAGAAACGGTATTGTCAGTGGTCCTTTTGTCTGGAGCCAAATTGACAGGAGCCTTTTTGTCGTGAGCCAAAATGACGCTAACCTATTTGTCGGGAGTCGTAATGACGGGGGCCGTTTTGTAAAGAAACTAAATGGCGGAAGCCTATATGTCGGGAGCCTAAATGACGGGAGCCTATTTATCGGGAGCCTTTATGACGGGGTCCATATGTCGCAGGCCATTTTGACGTGGTCAGTTTGACGGGGCTCTTATGTCGGGGCCGATTTGTCGGGGTCGTTTTGACGGGGCCGTTTTGTCATTGGCCGTTTTGACGCCGTACGCTTTATAATAATAATAATAATAATAATAATAATAATAATAATAATAATAATAATAATAGTAATAATAATAATAATAATAAAAATAATAATAATAATAATAATAATAATAATAATAATAATAATAATAATAATAATAATAATAATAATAATAGTAGTAGTAGTAGTAGTAGTAGTAGTAGTAGTAGCAGCAGCAGCAGCAGCAGCAGCAGCAGCAGCAGCAGCAGCAGCAGCAGCAGCAGCAGCAGCAGCAGCAGCAGCAGCAGCAGTAGTAGTAGTAATAATAATAATAATAATAATAATAATAATAATAATAATAATAATAATAATAATAATAATGTTAATAATATTAATAATAAAATAAATAATATACCTAAATAATAATAATAATATTTTAAATAGCTCATCACCGAAAATTAGAAAATAAAGCTGTCCTTAGAGATCTAGATCAAGATATAAATGAAAGCGTTTGTCGCAAAAAAACGCCAACATGTAAGTGTAGGCCTTAATTACTACTATCTCATATTGAAAAGATTTCAGGAACGGCAACCGATTTTGCATTTATTGTTCAATAAGACTGTTTACGTTCATTTATTTTTTAAATAATAAAGTGTATTTAAAAGCTTAGGGGTCACCTATAAATGACGTCACGCTTTTTTGACGATTTTTACCTCCCCCCTCCCCTCCGTCACACGTCGTCACATAAAGCCAGACCCCCCCCCCCTAAAATGACGTCACACCTCAACCTACAACCCCCCCCCCCCCCCCTCAAAATTGCAGTTGAATTTTTTTTTAAACATCGATAATTTTCTAAAATCTTGTCTAAACTATTACAATTTATTAAAACAGTTATCTAAAACGCAAATTACGTCTAAAATTAGTTTTGTAACATTGCTTTTTTATATTGCAAAAGTGTGACGTCGCAACATCTGACCCCCCTCCCCCTAATCACACATCGTCACAAAATTACGGACCCCCTCCCCCCTACGAGTATGACGTCAGTTATGGATGACCCCTTATCATTATAATACGATGTTTATAGATCTAGGCGCACAGATTTTATTTCATAATTTACTGACAGTTTAAGATAACATTATGTGACTCTAAAGGAGTTTTTATCTAGACTCCAGTTTAATCTGGCCTATATCTAGATCTAAGAATCTAGGTCTTTATTAGTGTTTCGGCCAAAGAAAAAAATATAACAAAACGAAGTTTAAAATATTTTCACCTGGATCTTACTATGAGTCTATGAGAGTGTGAAATTTTGTTTAAAATTGCCCCTAGGTTTTAAAACACAACATTTTTCATAGCAGTTTCTAATATAGTCTAGACTATATTTATTAGTTCATATAGTAATGGGTCCTAAGAATTTTCAAAAGCGAAATCGCGCTTCTACAAATTTTAGCATCTTTTCTTGGAAAAGGCAGGGTTGCCATATTGGAAATTTAAGCATTTTATCAAATGGAACTGCAATATAAAATATGTTTAAAATATTTTCAACTGGATCTACTATGAGTCTATTGTCTATGTGAGAGTGAAATTTCGTTTAAATCATCGCCCCTAGGTTTTAAAACACAACATTTTTCATAACAGTTTCTAATTTTTAGACTATATTTATTAGTTTATATTAGTAATGAAATCTAAGAATTTTCAAAAGCCGAATCCCAGTTCTACAAATTTTAGCATCTTTTCTTGGAAAAGGCAGGGTGGCCATATTGGAAATTTAAGCATTTTATCAAATGGAACTGCAATATAAAATATGTTTAAAATATTTTCAACTGGATCTACTATGAGTCTATTGTCTATGTGAGAGTGAAATTTCGTTTAAATCATCGCCCCTAGGTTTTAAAACACAACATTTTTCATAACAGTTTCTAATTTTTAGACTATATTTATTAGTTTA